GTATTAAAGAGATTGATAAAGTAAAAAGTCATTTTGAAACATCTACAATCTACATCATTTACACACGGATACGGACTGACGGAGATAATGAAATTATAAGGGTTTTGTTTTTGCTATCTTGCTACGAAACCCTTCAAATAATTTAAATCTATTATTACAATAAAAACCTTTTTATAGAAGAAAAAGGTAAATGAAATTTTGCATATTTTTGAACGAGGAATCGGTAATTTATAAATATTATACGATCAATATATAATATAATGATAATAAGCCTTTTATTGCTATTTGCCTTTTATTACTAAAAATTAAATCTAACATTTATTTAATTTGATTAATTGAATATATTTCTGTAACATTATATTTAATTTAATGAATAACTAGATTAGAATGAAATGAAATTATATTTTTTGTTAAATACAAAATCATAAATTTAACCGGGTTCTAGCCCTATAACAATGGCCGCCTGTCGCATTGAAGCAATAAATCATCGACAAAATGTAACAAAAACAAAACGAAGGTAAATTAAATTTGAATACCTTGTTTATTCAACAAAACGATTATTTAGATAGACAATGCGTTGTATTATTCAAACCCACTTAACACTTCAGTTTTGTCATCAAGTAGTTTAGGAATTAATTCTTGACCCAGAAATCATTGCCTCATTTTGCCGACGTTAATTTTCATCTCCATTTAACTTTACTCCAACGTCCATCGATAGCTCTAGATAAGCGGGATCGGAAGAGAAATACGGCTAGTTTAGTAAAGTGCTTCGTAAAAGCCGTTAGATATCTGAAAGATAGTATACGTAAATCACTTTCTATGGCGATTTTACTGCTTTATATGAATAAAAATTTTTGTCTATCAAAGTTATGAAATTTAGTTTTTATAGTATATACTTAAATAATATAAAGGCAGTGGTAGCCCAATGGAAACGCGCTCGTTTGGAACACCGAGTGAAGCGGGTTCAAATCCCGGGTCTCGTATCTCTGATATTTTCATGTGCGAATCATTTTTAACATGATTACCACTTGCCTTACGGTGAAGGAAAACATCGTAAGGAAACCCGCAAGTCTGAGAGAATCTAACAAGTTTTCGAAGGACATGTGAAGTCCGCCAACCCACAATTGGCCAGCATGGTGGACTATGGCCTGATCCCCATCGTATTGAAGGGAGGCCCGTGCTCAGCAGTGGGGTGTTAAAAAATGCTGAATACGTACTTAAATAATATATCCAATATTATTAATTAATTAAATATTATGTTCATATATACATATATAATATTAGGTTTCTTGCATCAATTAAATTACGATTGCATGTTCACTGTCAGGCCATACTGCTAAGTTTAGCTTATTTAGGGTCAAAATTCATAGCGAATTCCTATAATGACGTAAGTAATCATTGAGAAACGATTTTTTAATATCCAACCCTTGAAAGGGTAAAAGGGTTGGCAAAGTATTTATGGAAAGCGATATTTTACGGGTGTCCAATCAAAATTAAAGTTGCCCGGCAAAGTCAGAATAGACTGCTTGTAATAATACGTAGTCTCAAAGTTAGATCGCAATTTAATTGGAACGGAACAAAAATTTATACATTATTTTAGTAAACGGACGCTTGAGTATATTTTATTAGGCAACCCATCTGCCATATATTTGCTTATGAATTATTATATTTCATATAAAATTCTCTTTATTTGGTTAGCAGATGGGTAAAGGAGGTCCTATCTTCGTCTCTTCATCAACAAAAACCCATGCTCACTAATGAGGACGTAAATATAATTTAAAAATTATATAACGTAAAGCGAGATTTATTCCTACCTTACATGATTACATTTCAAATCGCTTGTGATGTAACAGCTATTACACAATTAAAATAAAACACAACATTGCCTATACAATATACATTTTCATTCACCTGCCGAAGTTAAAGGTTTCAAGGAGGAGGAGGTCCTGGCTTCGAGTCCCGGGTTAGGACAGCATTAGTCATTGAGTTTTTCTGTTAAGGAAGTCTCAGTAGCAGTCCGGAGTTGCAAGATAGCGGTGGTACCACCCAATTCGGAGAGCCTCTGTCAGGCAAATATAATCATAAATGACTTGTATTGGTCATCTGTGATGTGATTTAACATGATGGAATACGCAATATTTTGTATTTGTAGTTTAAGAACATAAGATTTCTTCGGCTTAGTAGTTATAATCATTTAACGATAAAAATATACAAAATAAATAGGTACACAAATGTAAAATAAAACAATAATTTATATCAGGTTTCTAGATTAAAGCTTTGCACAAATGAATTATTATTTAGGCTGTATACAAATAAAGTAAACCCTCATATGGCACGATATTATTGTCAGCAACGCCTAAAATACTTGCTAGAACGTTATAGTTTGCCGCGAATAATATTGCCTTCCATAATGTATACATATATATTTTGAACGACATATGATATTATTACCTTAGACTTTTCTTATAAGATATGCTTAAAGAAATAATAAAACTTTGAGCCATGTACATAGTTTTTTTTTTGAAAAACGTATTCTAATGGCCATTATTATTAGTACCGAGGCCAAATCCACAATTTTCTGTCTGTAGGTCTGTTACAGCATCGCACTAAAAAACCACTTTACGTGTGTTGATGAAATTCTGTACGGTGATAACTGATTACTATCGGCATCAATATGTAGAGACACAAGATTATGTGCTTTCGAAAAAATATAACACCTTATTTCCAGTTACATGTATGGAATGGTACTATTTTTTTAATTTCCATAATTACACACAATAACTTCACAAAGTGTAATCGTAATCAGAGGAATACTTTATAAATGCATACTACAACCAAATAGACAAACATTCATTTATAATATGTATATTTAAGCAACAAAAAAATAAAACCGACTTCCAGGCACTAAAGTATAAAAAATAACTAAACGGGGGTTTTCATTTAGAATAGATACCTAATCAGATATTTTCGAAGTCGGTGCCAGCCGACGCATAGGAAATCTAATATATTTTGATACGTAAAATACATATTTACCTATTAGATATTCATATCTTAAAATATTGTCCGCTGGCACCGACTTCGAAAATATCTGATTAGGTATTTATTCTAAATAAAAACCCCCGTTTAGTTATTTTTTATACTTTAGTGCCTGAAAGTCGTATTTTTTTTTAAGTTTTTATTTTTATATTTTTAGTGTAGACGTAATAAGCAGGTAATTTGTAGCAAAAAAGTTTTAAATAACATATTCGATTAAACAATTTGTTGAAAAAAATATTTATTGTTAATTTTCTTTAAAACCGCTCACTGATTTCGATAAAATTTATATGGGATATAATATACCTGGGAAGTATACCCTTTCAAACAAAACAAAAATTTTCCAAATCGGTTCAGGTGTCTTCGAGTAATCGGTGAACATACATAAAAAAAGATTCCGATGAATTGAGAACCTCCTTGTTTTTGGAAGTCGGCTATTAGAGATAATTTATACAAAAATTATTCCCAAAATGTCATAACAAACATTATAAAGAACAAAAAGTTTATCAACGACGCATCGTACACGTAATTTCATACATTTAACCCGACAGTCAGACGTATTGTTAAAACTCAAAAATAAATAATAGTAATAATTTCCTTGCATGTTGGAATTTTGCCAGTTACAACTAACTAGTTTAAATACCATGACGAGATTGCAACTTAAATGAGGAAGTCGTCACTGAAACCGTTACGACTTTTTAATTACATACACTTTTATTCTATGATATCTTCCTAGAAATGGGATTGAGTCTTTTAAATAAAATTGACATCAACAACGAAAGAGGATTTATTAAAGAGATTGTTATGAGAGCTTTTTGTGCTTTAGTAATGTCCGTAACTAGCTTTTTCTCATTTATATCTTTATATTTCTTTATGATGAGATTTTTATTTCTTTGTTACATTTTACTGGTTATTTTATTAAAAAAATATTTTTTTATTTATTTCATTAATGTTTTTCTTTTTCGTTAATTGCAGTTAGAAACAAATAGTGTATTAATATATTAAAGTCTGCTGGCTGAAAATAATCGCGTAAAGTTGACAAACGGCAAGCTCTGAAAGTTTTTAAAAATAAATTAATCCCATCGCTCGGTTTTGTGAATATCCGTCGGGTTACAGTTATGAAACAACTCGGAACGAGGTTCACTTTATTCTCTTTTGAAATTTACAATTTCACCGTTTTAATTATGAATGAGAATTTTTATATGATAACATACCTAACATAGATTCGCTAAATGTTTACCATGAAGTAATTTTTGCTACTCATCCATTTTAATTTTTGTTAGGGAAGGCTTAAATATTTTATATCTTACTATATAATATACATATAATAAGAAAAATATTATAGTCAAGCAGACAGATAATCGATACTTAACAAAATATGACGAAAATAGATGCCAGCAACGCAATACAGTGTAAATTAATTTTATATTGAACGCGTTATTAATTATTGATGTGAAATATTTGCAGTATATTTTGACACCTTGTATTCTTATCCAAACTATTTCTTAATTTTTGTTTACTCCGCGTTGGCTGATACCACTCCATTTAGTAATTTCTTAGAGTGCCTTGAAGTTGGTTTACATTTTTTTAAATATTTTTATTTTTACCGTAGACGTTTCTTTTTGCAGAATTTGTATTAAGAAAGCTATATCGTTATTTTTAATATTTAAAATATTTTTTTTAAATATTTAAACCAACAAATTCTTCCAAGAAACAATTAAACACAATTTAGATAGCTAAGGATAGATGAGATATAAACAAATACATTTTCTGTGTACTCAAGTAAAAGTGACAAGAAATGGGAAGGAAGTCATTTGTATATGAATGAACATTAAAGAATTAAATGTTTGCCATGACGATCGTAAGTTATATATATATATATATATATATATATATATATATATATATATATATATATATATATATAGAGAGAGAGAGAGAGAGAGAGAGAGAAATATACAACATACCTGCATTTCACTTCCACTCTGCCCCATAGCGACTAGTCATCGCCATAATAAATCTCAATCTGAAACAATAACAATATTTAAGATTTCTTTTATCAACTTATTAAGTAAATACGTTCATAGAAAGTAATGTACGCCCTTGCTTTGCTCAAAGCTAAAAACATTACTACGCGTCTGCGAAGTACTTTTTGCTTTGATATATTAAGTAGACGGTAACGAACTAGAATAAATAGTAACTTAACCTTAAGCCTAAAAAATCCCTACACAAAAAATTACATTGTACCGTGTCGTGTTTTGTTATTATGTAAAAGCACAAACAACTTTGATTAATGGTACTGATTAAAAACAGATTTTGTCCGTCTTTTGCAATTTTTATAATTAGTAAATAATGTTATAATAGCTTTCTACAAAGAATAATATAATTAAATTACAAAATAATATTTGATTTGGTAAAGTTTTGAACACGTAGCTTTTTTCTTAATATGCGTGCACATCTTACAGTCTTCGTTGTACAAACAGACAAAATTTATAAATTAATTTGAATTCTGCAAATGAAATAAGTATTTTTGATACATTCGGACTTGTTTATTCCGTTAATTTTTACATACATATAAAAATAGTTAATTGTATGTTTCCAATTGAAACAGCCTAACCAAATTAATTGAATACATGGAAAGTGCAAATTTGCTTCATTTTGTTTGAATGCATACAAATTTAATGACATTACACTGATTACATGATCATATTACTAATGGACCAGCACTTCACTGTGATTCTGATTAACATAACAGAATTATAATTATTTAAATTAAGTTACAATTCAGCTTTACTTATTAACGCTTTAATACTGAAGGTCTATGACTTCTGTACATAAAGGCTTTCAATACTATATTTCTACCTCTTATCTCTCGCGAATCTTATTCTTTTTGGGATCAATGCCTATATCAATTTTAACCAACACTTTTATGCGCCAGCAAAAATTTCGACCATGGTATCGTAAAAGTTATGATTAATAATTAAATAATATATGTATATAAAAATAGTTTAAGCAGACTTAGTAAGCAGGCGTTGCTCGACCTCATAGCTCGTTTGGCCGGAAAATTAGAAAATGAATTTTAGCGAAGAACCATCCAAGACACTATAAGTGCTCAAAATTGGAAAAGCTTTTTAGTAAAAGTTAGAATGAAAATAATAATGAGCTTCATATAGAGGATGTACTTACTGAAAAATATGGGCTGAAACTTTAATTTTATTAAATACCTATAGATAAAGTATTTCATTCTCAATGTTCAATTAAAAAGTCGAAAGTTTTCAAAAACTTTCATTAATATTATACTATATTATTTTACGTAGGTATAGAATAGTCTAACTGTTTGTGTCCCTTTTTTTCTCTTTAAAAAATACTAATTTCTTTAGATTGTTTTTTTTATCTCGAGATTAATTTTTTATTTCATAATTTACCCGTAACTCTAATCTCTGTATATCTGATCTACGTTTCTGCGTAGCTATAACTTAACAGAAATGAAAAATCTATTCAGTACGCCACATTATTTATAACCAGAATTTTATGCATAATTTACATAAAAAATCAAGGAAATTTTAATCTCATTTTCGTATATATAATATTAGTATGGCTTAAAAAAGATTTTTTAAATTAAAATTTACTTTTTAGCTGCTTGGCTCCTTTTTTAAAAATGACGTGCGAAATATATTTAAATGTTTACTGTACAAAATATCAATATTTTAAACGTAGAACCAATGTACTTATTTACAGTATAGACTACTTGAAAACCCGATTTCTTTTATTCAATAAACCATATTATGTTATTCTAAAATAATAACAAAAAATCTATACTTCCAACAAAATTCCACTTTTCAAATAAAATCTCTTGCAAATACTAAGCGCGCGGCTAATCCGCACGAAATTGAAACACACAAAACAATTGTAAGCGGTAAATAGAATTGTTAAACTAAAAATAACCGTCCAGTACATATAAAAACAAAAAAAAATGCAATAACGACGAATATATAACACATATGAAATGTTTAATAAGCACTTTAAAATTAAAATTTATTTTCGCTCAAAACTTACTAAATCCCTGAAGTATTTTTTGTATTTTTACTATTATGTAAAGACAATTAAGTAAGTAGATAATTTTCGAATATTTTACTACTAATTGTAGCCTATCTGCTACTCCATGTCATAGTATATCTGCATTCAAATCTATCCAGCATTTTTAGCTTGTAGTAGCAAACCTATACACTCATACAAACTTTCGCATTTATAACAGGAGCGTGACTGCAATAAAATATTTTTCTTCGGAAGCCACATCCATACTAATATTACATTGTAAATGTGAAAGTTTGTGAGGATGGATGAATGTTTGTTACTCTTTCACGCCAGAACGGCTGAACGGATCTGGATGAAATTTGCACAAAATTGAAAAAATTGGCACAGAGATAGACTATAGTCTGGAATAGCACATAGGTTACTTTTTATCCCGGAAAAATATACGGTTCCGTAGGATAGATTTGTTTTTGTGTGACGAACTCGAAGCGAAGCCAGGGTGAATCGCTATAATAATTCTATTTTCATGATTTAACGGAAAAATATAAAAAAGTAAACACATTTGCATTTATATGTTAGTATGGATTCATATAAAACTTCTGAAATAAAAATTTACATTGCTCACAGCTTCTATATTATCTTCTAAGATATAGTATAAACATAGGCATCATCACTCAATTGTACGTTAGTATCTGAATACAGGCAGAGTGGCGTAGTGATTAACGCATTACGCAAGTACATATAAGGAACAAATACCTACAATTATGTAAATTATGACCTGCCGTCGGGGCATCATGGTTGAATGTGTAAGTGGTCCTGTGACGCCCCGTGCTGTGTTTTGTTGGGTTTTAGTGGGTATAGCTGGTTTTTCTAGTCGGTGAGTCCGTAGGAAACGTACTGGGAGGTGGCCCACCTCCCAGTGCGTTTCTTGGCTTCGCGCCCGGCTGGATTGCCGGGCACTACTGAGCCCCTCCACCACGACAAGGTGAACGCACGCACTTTGGGGGGGCTTATTCTAGTCCTAGCCTATAAGTGTAACTCACAGTTCGAAATTATCGTCCATCTGCTTAGTACAGAATATGATAAATATGGCATATTACCTACTACTAATATTTAATAATATAATAGAATTTTAACTAAACCGAATCTAACTAAATTCATTAAATATTTTTTGGAAAATCTTCTTGAAATAGACATAATTATCGATACAGAGGCTGAATCTATAGTTTTTAGAATTTTTGTCTGTCTGTCTGTCCGTCCGTCCGTCCTTACCGCATCACGGAAAAACCACTGGAGGGATTTTGATTAAATTAAGTATGATGATAGCTGTTATCCGGGTCAACATATAGTAAAATACTTTTTACTGCGGGAAAATATGTCATCTCTGAGAAATCTATACTAAACGTTAAAACGTTAGTAAGGACGAACACCCGAGCGGAGCGAGGGTTAGTCGCTAGTTAATTATATATCATTAGTATGTCACAAATGCTAGTTATATATAAATAACGTTTAACTAGTATACGAATAATAAGTTTACCGTACTTAAACTGGAAAGTCATGTCGAAACAAATTAGTAAGGTTTGACCTAAAAAAAAGTTTTTAAAAACACGACAAATACCTGCCGTAGAGTTCAAGAAGCCTATGTCTACGCTGAAGGTCATTGACATACACAACTACAAAAAGATTCTACATATTTATACATAGTATAAAACAAAGTCGCTGTCTGCGTCTGTCTATTTCTCCGCTTACTTCTTCTAAGCCACGCAACGGATTTCGATACGGTTTTCACTAATTAAAACAGCGATAAACGAGAAAGGTACAATAATAAGGACATATATAATTTGTAAATATTTTGTACTAATATATTAGGTCTAGATAGTAAAAAAAACTGTTTTCGTACGATTATATGACTAACGCTACACGCTACGCTACATCAAATTAATGTACTAGAAAATTGTAGATCTTAAAATGGCGTACAGAAATGTTCGTGATAGTTATATCACTTAAGGTATTCACGCAATAACTATTTTTATTTATATAAACACCCGAAGGAGGCACCCGAGCGAGCGAAGGTAACTCGCTTGTTGCATATATAATTTATATACATATTTATCTATAGGACGTTAAAGAAAGTATTCTGAAAACCTCATACTATGTGTGTATAGTATACATATACATACATACACATACATTAATCTACTAAATGTAATAACTTCATTTCAAGCGAAAACATAATTCAATATTTATTTTCTAGTTCAGAACCTAAATGTGAATCTTTTCAAAGTCCAATATGCTCAAAGAACAAGTCGAGTTTAAAATTTGCCTCACTGGGTATAGTGTGCCGCCTGACCCATTTTTCCACATAATGGCTGTCTAGCATTCGAACACTAGAAAATAATGCGAGATGCATCGCATCAACGTTTCTCTGTGATTTAGCGGTAATTTTCTATAAAAAAGAATCTTTAAGTTAAGTTTTATAAGCCAAAGAAATTTTATGAATATGCAAATAAACATGAACGTAGTTTTAAAGATGTAGCGCAAAGGAGAAGATGATTAAATTTTGTAGAGATGAAAACTGCAGGAGATACTGGCAATAACGATTAGCTTGGAGTACTTACCTAGATAGCTTTTATTACAGCTCTAACAGAAATAAGGGCAAAACAATACGAGTAGCCTCTTCTCTTCAACCTACTTTTTGTATTCTAGTAACACACGTAAATAAGGGACTGATGGTATCGACTTAGAGGCTATGTAACGTTTTAGTTTTTTTTTATGTTTCCTTTAAAATTTATGTGTCCTAGTTATAAGTATATACAAAAAACAATGAATATATGTATAAAATTGTGTATTATAACAATGTTAATGAGTTTTATGTACATATTATAATTCTTCTTAATATTTAAATTAATATAGGTTCAATAAATAAATCAATAATATGTAAAACGGATACCTATTAGGATTT